TGGCCTAATGTGTCTAAATATATACTGTCCCAAGCTCACTATCTCAAGTGGCCTTAGACTACTTACCCTTCCCTCAGAATGAAGGTTTGTTCCCCACAGCAGTCTCTCTTCTAGCCCTGTTCCCTGGGAAGAAGAACAGCTCTTCCTCTTGTACCAGTTCCTATATTCCCCAGCCCTCTTCTTCCCTATTGGTCAAAATCAGCACCAAAACTTCCCAGGGGCTTCTGGGAATTGTAGGCCCACCTTCCCCTATTGCTAGCCAGGCTCCCTGGGCCTAGTAGGCCTCTGGTGGCACAGCCCAGATCATGACAGAAGTAATCTCTGTAGTTTGGAGATCAGTTGCAATTCTGGGAGATCTTCAGGCTCCACCTGGAGGTTGGCAGCCATCCTCTGGGATACCTCCATTAAGCTCAACTCATCTGTGGCAGGAGGCGTTCTGCCAGCAAGCCCTGTTGCCTGCTGCCACTCTGAGCAGGTGGCAGGTGATATATATATATATATTAAAAAAAACACACACAATGACATTCCCAATGTCAGGTAAAACCTAGAAGTGGCATAGGGTAGATCTAGGAATCTCCAGAAACTCCATGATTTTACCATTGAGTTTCTGGGGATTCCTAGAGCTATCCTATGTCACTTCTGGGTTTTTACCCGGAAGTGATATAGAGACTTTGGCAATGTTAATGATGTCGCACCTCCCATATCCCCACTCCCAGTCCTCCTCCTGGTTGCTAAGCTTGGCCTAGCTATGACAAATACTGACCTTGATAGACCACTGGTCTGATTCAGTATAAGGCAGCTTCATGTTTCCATGTGTGTCAGCTGCCCTGAGCTTCTTTTGAGGAACAGCTGGTTAAAAAAAAGAGGCATGTATACAGTCTCACTATTTTCTGAAATGACATGACTTTCTCCATTGCTAGAACTTGTTTTATGAAAAGCTGGTCAGATTTTATAGGTGGGCCCTCCCACAGCTAATTGGTTCCCCCATCTTTGCCTGCTGCCCATAATTACACAACAACACGATACCGAGAAATTACATGATGATTAATGATCTTCTAGCAAGGTCTGGCAGACAGATAATGCTTGCCCATCCGTGCCCAATTTCTTCGGAAGTAATCAAAGCTCATAACCCCCCCCAATCTTGTTGGCCTCTAGGGTGAATGATCCAGATGTTTGGGGGGAGTCACACAAGGGTATTTCGAATTATGGTGCTGGAGAAGACTCGTGAGAGTCCCTTGGACTGCAAGGAGATCAAATCAGTCAGTCCTAAAAGAAATCAACCCTGACTGTTCCCTGGAAGGCCAGATCCTGAAGCTGAAGCTCAAATACTTTAGCCACCAAATGAGAAGGGAGCACTCCCTGGAGAAGACCCTGATGCTGGGGAAGATTGAAGGTCAAAGAAGAAGGGATGGCAAAGGATGAGATGATTAGACAGTGTTATCGATGCAACGGACATGAAATTGAGCAAACTCTGGAGCACGATGGAAGACAGGAGGGCCTGGCGTGATGTGGTCCATGGGGTCATGAAGAGTTGGATTCAACTGTGCAACTGAAAAACAACAACAACACATGGATAGGTCATTTGAGTAATGTTGGGATCACAGTAAGACCCCGTGAGGATTGTGTGTCATTAGAATATTTATCTAACATATTTCATGCTGGTTGAATTTGTTCATCTAGTCTTTGCCAATTAAATCTGGACCCTTTGTTACCCCCAAAAATGCACACAAGTAAGAGTCTCAATGTCAGGAGAGCTCCATTTTCATGGAAGAACAAACACATGATTCTTCTGGGTAAATTTTATATTGGGACCACTGCCTGTTGTATAATGAATCAGTCTAGCTTACATATTTCATACGTGCTGAATTTTGACTTGTTCAGCCAGTCTTTGCCAACTATAGAATCATAGAGTTGGAAGAGACCTCCAGGATCATCTACTCCAACCCCCTACACAATGCAGGAAATTCACAGATACCTCTCCCTCCACACCCACAGTGACCCCTGTTCCACACACAGAAGATGGTAAAAAAAAAAACCTCCAGGATCTCTGGCCAAATTGGTCTGGAGAAAAATAGCTTCCTGACCCCAAAGTGGCAATCAGCATTTCCCTGGGCATGTAAGGAAGGGCCACAAGAACTAAGCACTGATGTAACCCTTCCTGCCCTCCTTAGCATTGCTGTCAGATGGCCCTCTAACCTCTGCTTAAAAGCCTCCAAAGAAGGAGAGCCCACCACCTCCTGAGGAAGCCTGTTCCACTGAGGAACCGCTCTAACTGTCAGGAAGTTCTTCCTAATGTTTAACCAAAAACTCTGATTTAATTTCAACCTGTTGGCTCTGGTCCAACCTTCTGGGGTAACAGAAAATAACCCCACATCGTCCTCTATATGACAGCCCTTCAAGTATTTGGTTATCATATCACCTCTCAGACGATTCTGTTGGCTGTGAAAATGTATTGGTGTGAATCCCTTCAATCACTGGAATAGCTGGAACATGTTCCATGTGTATAGACCCTCAAAGCCACCTCTGTCACCTGTGTCCGATTCCATGTTCCCTCTAAACTGTGGAATCTTGTGAGCAGAAATTCTACTTTGTAAGCTATTGGCATTAAAGTGGTGAGTGAGCGATTTGGCTACTGCATAAATTAGTTTGCTCTGGAGTAGGGATGTGCATTCAGTTTGGAGGAACAACCCCCCCCCCCCCTGAATAATGCCTATTCGGCATTATTCAGGCAGCTGAAAGCCGATTCAGATTCTTTAATCTGATTCAGCTGGCCAAACAGGGATTCCCCGAATGGATGCCGTATAGTCGGCATCTATTTGGGTAACCCCTTTTGGGTAATCCCTTTTTGGGTTATTCCAGGGCCTTCCCTGGCTCGCCTGCCTTGGCTGCTGGTGCCTCTCCTCAAAATACCCCACAAGTCTCAAAAAGATTGGTACTCTGAACATAATCAAGTATGAATCCACCAAATCACAGTACCAGCCAGCCTACATTTAACAATCCAGTCCACAACATACAAATACAGTGATACCCACAAGAATGGAAAAAGTGTTCCAGTTGGAGAACAGAGACTGTAACACAGTGGTAAAGCACCTCCTTGGCATACAGAAGACTCCACATTCAATCCTGGGTATCTCAAGTTGAAAGAACTCAATAGTAGGAGATGTGAAAGAAATCTGCCTAAGACCCTGGAGAGCCACGGCCAGTCTGAGTAGACAATACTGACCTTGATGGACTAAGGGAATGATTCAGTATAAGACAGCGTCATACATGATTTGAGGAAGTGCCATGCCTCAGTGGTAGAGTATCGGCTTGGCATGCAGAAGGTCCTAGGTTCAATCCCTGGCACCTCCGGTTAACAAAAGGATCAGGTAGAAGGTGATATGAAAGACCCAAAAGAGCCAGGGACCCAGAAGGGCCAGAGAGCAGCTTCCAGTCTGTGTAGGGGCCCTGGCTCAGTGGTAAAGCATCTGCTTGGCATGCAGAAAGTCCCAGGTTCGATCCATGGCAGCATCTCCAGTTAAAAGGACCAGCCAAGAGGTGATATAAAAGACCTCTGCTGGAGATCCTGGAGAGCCGCTGCCAGTCTGAGTAGACAAGACTGACCTTGATGGACCGAGGGTCTGATTCAGAATAAGGCAGCTTCATGTTTGGGGGAGGGGCTGTGGCTCAGTGGTAGAGCACCTGCTTGGCATGCAGAAGGTCCCAGGTTCAATCCCCGACATCTCCAGTTAAAAGGACCAGGCAGGAGGTGATGGGAAAGACCCCCACATGAGACCCTGGTGAGCTATCGAGCGGGATGTGGCTCAGTGGCAGAGCACCTGCTTGGCATGCGGAAGGTCCCAGGTTCAATCCCCGACATCTCCAGTTAGAAGGACGAGGCAGGAGGTGATGGGAAAGACCTCTGCCTGAGACCCGGGTGAGCTGTAAAGAGGGGCTGTGGCTCAGTGGCAGAGCCTCTGCTTGGCATGCAGGAGGTCCCAGGTTCAATCCCCAACATCTCCAGTTAAAAGGACAAGGTAGTAGGTGATGGGAAAGACCTCCACCTGAGACCCTGGTGAGCTATGGAGCGGGATGTGGCTCAGTGACAGAGCATCTGCTTAGCATGCGGAAGGTCCCAGGTTCAATCCCCGGCATCTCCAGTTAAAAAGGACCAGGTAGTAGGTGATGGGAAAGACCTCCGCCTCCGACCCTGGAGAGCTGTAAAGAGGGGCTGTGGCTCAGTGGCAGAGCCTCTGCTTGGCATGCAGGAGGCCCCAGGTTCAGTCCCCGACCTCTCCAGTTAAAAGGACCAGGTAGTAGGTGATGTGAAAGACCCCCACCTGAGACCCTGGTGAGCTATGGAGCGGGATGTGGCTCAGTGGCAGAGCATCTGCTTGGCATGCGGAAGGTCCCAGCTTCAATCCCCGACATCTCCAGTTAAACGGATGAGGCAGGAGGTGATGTGAAAGACCCCCACCTGAGACCCTGGTGAGCTATGGAGCGGGGTGTGGCTCAGTGGCAGAGCATCTGCTTGGCATGTGGAAGGTCCCAGGTTCAACCTCTGGCAGCATCTCCGGCTAGAATGATAAGGCGGGCAGTGACATGAAACACATTTGCCTGAGACCCAGACAATCATGACCTTGATGGGCCAGTGATCTGATTCAGTATAAAGCAGCTTCATATGTTCATCATATAGGAATCTCTCGAGAGTTTCATGTGAAGGTCCTTTGGCACAAAAGTTACCGATTTGTGTTGACCGACCAGGCTGACGCGGACTCGATGGAGACCAGAACGGAAAAACTGGTGCTTACCAGGAAGTCACTTGGCTCCATCCCTTGAAATTAAAATGACTGTATTCTATTTGAAGCGAGGATGCTCAAAAGCAATTTTAAGGATGAGCGCTTTGAGCAGGATGAAGCTCTGTAATATGAGGTTTATTTTCCCCTAAGGTGTTTTGCTTCCGGAGCACGTCTTAATGGAATTGTATAAAAGGGCTTGTGACACTTTGCTTCCTTGGCTGTCGCTTTGACCGCTTGGCTCCCATTGGTGATTTGAGGGTAAGTATCAGAAATATTTGAAATTATGTTAGTGTTGGCCCCCAGAGTTCACTGGTTGGTACATCTGGCAGCAGCAGATTTCTGGTTTTGTCATATCTTCTGGAGGTGAAATGCCATCAGCGACCCCAAGGAGAAGACTACATTCCATCTCCCTTGGTTTTATGGTTATCTAGAATGGTTTTAGGAGCTGCGGTGGCTCAAGTTGTGAAGACGCTGAACTGCAGGCTGTGGAAGGTCAGTAGTTCAGCAGTTTGAGACCCGGGTTGCCGCATGATGGAGTGAGCTCCCGTCTCTAGTTCCAGCTCCTGCCAACCTAGCAGTTCGAAAGCAAGAAATTGCAAGTAGATAAATAGGGACCACTTCGGTGGGAAGGTAACAGCGTTCCGTGCGGCTTGGTGTTTAGTCATGCCGGCCACAGGACCATGGAAATGTCTTCGGACAACGCTGGCTCTTTGGCTTTGAAACGGAGATGAGCACCGCAACCCTAGAGTCGGATTCGACTGGCTTTTGAGCAAGGGAACCTTTACCTTTACCTTTTTAGAATTGTTTTAAGATGGTGTGTAGTGTCTTCGAATTTTATCTAGAATTCCATACAGGGGACAGCGACTAAAGCTGGGATTACAAGATTAGCTGGTTTCATGTGAAGGGGCTGTGGATGAATGGCAGAATATCTGCTTGGCATGCAGAAGGTCCCAATTTCACTCCCTGGCATCTCCAGTAATGATGAGGTTGCAGGCGATGAGAAAGATCCCAACCTGAGACCAATGCTCCCTCTAAGCCAGTGGTTCTCAACCTTCCTAATGTCGCAACCCTTTAATACAGTTCCTCATGTTGTGGTGACCCCCAACCATAGCATTATTTTCGTTGCTACTTCATAACTGTAATTTTGCTACTGTTATGAATCGCAATGTAAATGTCTGATATGCAGGATGTATTTTCATTGCTACAAATTTTCCGATGGTCTTAGGCGACCCCTGTGAAAGGGTCGTTCAACCCCCAAAGGGGTCGCGACTCGCAGGTTGAGAACCACTGCTCTAAGCTGTAGAGTCTTGTGAGCAGTTTGGTGTAGTGGTTAAGTGCGCGGACTCTAATCTGGGAGAACCGGGTTTGATTCCCCACTCCTCCACTCGCACCTGGCTGGATGACCTTGGGCAAGCCATAGTTATGGCACAGCTGTTCTTGAAAAAGAGCCGTTTCTGTCAGAGCTCTCTCAGCCCCACCCAGGCCCGTAGCTAGGTTTTTTTTTTAATTCGGGGGGCTTTAAATACGTTGGGGGCCTGATAACTCCTGTAAGAGTTATCTTGTAGGAATTCACAGCCTGGGGAACTCCTACAAGATAATGATTCAGCCCTACCCCACCTTCCTGAGTAGATATAAATTACCTGCCTACCATTTTTCTTCTCACCTTGACACAGTGGGTGCGTTCAGATGGGGCGTTTCAGCCGGCATAAACTGTACCGGTTGGAACCGTTGCAGTTTATGCTGGCTGAAATGCGATCACACTTACCTCCTGTCTGTGGAGCCCATTGCTGTATGCCCATTCACACACAGCGGGCGTCGGTGGTTTGTTGTTGTTTTTTAACTTAGTTTGTGCATGCGCATAGGCAGCCATCCACCGAATGGCGATCTTCGCGCATGCGCAAAACGCCCCGTCCCAAAAAGCATGCCCTGAAGAGAGGACTTACCTTTAAAGTTTAAAGAGCAAACTGGTCTCCCTGAGGACCCGGACTCCTCTAAAATGTTAAACTAAGTACCTTTTCTTTTTTAAAAAAACAAACGCCGGGGCGAAGCTTTGCCCATGCGCATACGCCGACCTAACAAAAAAAAAATGGCGGGCGAAAATTGGAAGCCTTGGGCTTCCGAACGGAAGTGGCTCTACAATGGTGGAGAGTGATCAGACGGGGGAGGGGAAGCGATTACAACCGTTGCACTCAGGATACCACCACTTGGGGACCTAGTGGCAGAATACAACGGTTTAAAGCTCTTTGCAACGGTTAGGGACGGAAGGCAGATGTTCGCCGTGTGAATGCCGGTAAGTACACCAATTCCAACCGGCACCTATACCGTTGTAAATGCCCCGTCTGAACGCACCCAGAGAGTACTCCATCTTTCTGTGTTATACCTCTGAGGATGCCAGTCATAGCTGCTGGCGAAACGTCAGGTCCTCCAATGCCAAGACCACGGCCACACAACCCGGAGAATCTACAACAGCTAAATTTTTATATGTTTCCCCAATGCGACAAATAGCAACTCCCTGGGCTGTTTTGGGTTTTGAAAGCAGTGCAGAGGGACAGACGTCTCCCCCCCCCCTCCATTCTGAGTATCGAAAAAGACCATGGGGTACCCATCAGAATTTGGCCTGAGAACTGAATTTTTAAAATGCTGAGAGTATGCACATTTTTATAAGTTCAGTGATACAGAAGACTAACAGCTCCCTTGAAAGAGCTCTCGCTGCGATAACTGGTTTATAAATGTATTTTGGGTGACGGCTCCACTTCGAACGCACCCTGCCTGGAATGGCTTGAAAGCCAACAGCAATTATTTGGTGTGGTGGTAAGGAGTGCAGACTGTTATCTGGGAGAACTGGGTTTGCAGAAGAAGAAGGAAGAGATTGGATTTATACCCCACCCTTCACTCCCCAAAGGTGTCTCAGAGCGGCTTACAAACTCCTTTCCCTTCCCCTCCCCACAACAGACACCCTGTGAGGTAGGCGGGGCTGAGAGAGCTCTTTCAAAAACTGCCCTCGAGAGAACAGCTCTGCCAGAACTATGGCTTGCCCAAGGTCATCCAGCAGCTGCGAGCGGAGGAGTGGGGAATCAAACCCGGTTCTCCCAGATTAGAGTCCGTGCACTTAACCACTGGCTCTCAAACGGGATGATTCCCCACTCCTCCATAAGCAGCTGCTGGTGTGATTTTGGGTCAGTCACAAGTTCTCTCAGAGCTGTTCTCTCAAGAGCAGTCCTCGAGAGAGCTCTCCCAGACCCACCCACCTCACAGTCAATGCTCCCTCTAAGCCCTGGAGTCATGTGAGAAAAAAAAATCTATTTTGTGAGCAACTGGTATTAAAGTTGTGAGGAAGCAATTTGGTTACTGTATAAATTAGTTTGCTCTGGAGCAGTGTTCCCTCTAAACTTGGTTTGTGTGAGCTAGCGTTCCCTCTAAGCTGAGTTAGTGTGATCTAGCTCCCTTTTTTTTAGTCTCCGGCTCACACCCACACGTCTTAGCTCAGGGAGGATGGCTCCAGAGCAAACTAATTCTGTGCCCTCTTGTAAGCCGCCCTGAGCCCGCTCGCGGGGAGGGCGGGGGTAAGAATGTTAAAAATAAATTAAGAAATAAATAAATTCATGCAGTAGCCAAATTGCCCGCTCACAACTTTCATGCCCGTCGCTCATAAAGCAGAATTTCTGCTCACAAGTCTCCACAGCTTAGAGGGAGCATTGCTCTGGAGCCCTCCTTCCTTAGCTGAGGTGAAAACCTGTGAGCTGGAGGCTAAAAAACTGTGACCAAGCTCGCACTAACTCAGCTTAGAGGGAACACTGCTCACAGGGTGTCTGTTGTGGGGAGGGGAAGGGAAGAAGAAGAAGAAGAAGAAGAAGAAGAAGAAGAAGAAGAAGAAGAAGAAGAGATTGGATTTATACCCCGTCCTTCACTACCCTAAGGTGTCTCAGAGCGGCTTACAAACTCCTTTCCCTTCCTCTCCTCACAACAGACACCCTGTGAGGTAGGTGGGGCTGAGATAACTCTTGACAGAAATGGCTCTTTTTCAAGAACAGCTCTGACAGAATTACGGCTTGCCCATGGTCATCCAGCCAGGTGCAAGTGGAGGAGTGGGGAATCAAACCCGGTTCTCCCAGATTAGAGTCCGCGCACTTAACCACTGCACCAAACTGGAAGAGGAGGAGGAGGAGGAGGAGGAGATTGGATTTATACCCCGTCCTTCACTACCCAAAGGTGTCTCAGAGCGGCTTACAAACTCCTTCCCCTTCCCCTCCCCACAACAGACACCCTGTGAGGTAGGTGGGGCTGAGAGGGCTCTGACAGAAACGGCTCTTTTTCAAGAACAGCTCTGACAGAACTATGGCTTGCCCAAGGTCATCCAGTCAGGTGCAAGTGGAGGAGTGGGGAATCAAACCCGGTTCTCCCAGATTAGAGTCCGCTCACTTAACCACTACACCAAACTGGGAGAGGAGATTGTACGATGCTCTGAGACTCCTTCGGGTAGTGAAGGGCGGGGTCTAAATCCAATCTCTTCTTCTTCTTCCAAGTAGGCCTCCCAGGAAAACAAGGTTAACAATGGCGCACAGAATCCCAAAGTCTGCATTTGCTCACTGTCTTAATAAACTGTATTGACTTTTATAGAATTACAACGTTGAGTTGCTGGAGGGGACCGAAGGCAGATATGGGCTTTGATGTTTGAGTGTGTCTCCCTTAGGGAGAGGTGGAAATTCTTTGGAAGGCATGCCTTCAAGAGGGCTTCATTTGCTCATACCAGCCACAGCCTTACTGTCGTCCAATTTAGGCAACTACAGCCTCTGGGTATGGTTGCCAGCCTGTGGCGAGTGCGAGACTGGGAGGCTAGGATGTGGAGAGGCAACCGCCACATCAGCAGCACGATGGCATTTTCTGGGGCAAGCCCGGGAGTGATGTGCTGCTCTCGGATTTGGCAGAAGCATTTATGGTTCATTTGGAATACTGTGTGCAGTTCTGGTCACCACACCTTAAAAAGGATATTATAGCTTTGGAAAAAGTGCAGAAAAGGGCAACTCGAATGATAAAAGGGTTGGAACACTTTCCCTATGAGGAGAGGTTAAAGCGCTTGGGGCTCTTTAGCTTGGAGAAAAGACGACTGAGGGGTGACATGATCGAGGTTTATAAGATTATGCATGGGAAAGAGCAGGTAGAGAAAGAGGTACTTTTCTCCCTTTATCACAATACAAGAACTCGTGGGCACTCCATGAAAGTGCAGAGCGGTCGGGTTAGAACGGATAAAAGGAAGTACT